TCCTGCCGAACCCAAAGGAGGATTTTTGGAATGCTGGATCTCGCCGCGTTTGGATTCAGACAGACAATCAAACGCTAGAGCGGGCTTGCGCGGGACAGGCTTGCCTGGGGCAGTCCACTATGCGTCCTCTGTTTGTTCGCGTTGGTCGCTACATGGAGAAGCTGTTGCATTCCAGGTGTTTACCACGCTTGAACACCACGCCTTTCATCGAGTGGGACGAGCGGAAATTCAACTCTGTCGCTGATCATGCTGCCAGCGTCTCTCTCGACGACCACAGAGATTGGGAATGGCGAGATCCCGGTCTCCTTGCCCAGGCAAGACAGCAATGCTGGAATCTTCGGGTGTGCCTGGACGGGGCGCGGAGAGGCGATGGGCAGGCTGTCGGGGGGATTGCCATTTACGCATACGATTGTGCTGGCCACGGGCAAATGATGATTCGGGGGGGGGGACGATGTTTTGGTATTCTGGTTGATTCGTTTATGGCTGAATCTTTAGCTTTGGAGTGGTCTCTCGATGTACTATTCACGACAATCTTGGTGGACTGAGGACACAGCGGGTAGTGGGCAGGTAGGATGTGTTTTCGACGCATTGTCCGTAGTTGAAGAAGAAGAAGAAGAATAATAAGCTTAGTTTAGCTTAGCTTAGCTATCTTAGCTTAGCTTAGCTTAGCTTAGCTTAGCTTAGCTTAGCTTAGCTTAGCTTAGCTTAGCTTTCCTAGGGGCTCCAACTCCCAGGCAGGGTCGCACTGGGATGCTTTAGTACATGCTCCGAGTGCGGATCATGTATTAATTATCCTGGCGAAGGACCCAACCATATTCAGTTGTGAATAACGTATTGTGGGTGCCGTTATCGGTGGGACACGACACGCGTGAGGGGCGCGCCGTTATGGGTGTGGCGGACGCGTGCGGGCACCCCCACTAGGGCCTTCGGTGGAGTCCCTATGGGGCCACGAAGCGCTATGCTGGGTGTGGCGGACGCGTGCGGGCACCCCCATTGGGACCTTCGGTGGAGCTCCCTATGGGGCCACGAAACACTGTGCTGTTTGTGGCGGGCGCATGCGGGCACCCCCGCTGGGGCCTTCGGTGGAGCTCCCTATGAGGCCACGAATCGCTATGCTGGGTGTGGCGGACGCATGCGGGCACCCCCACTGGGGCCTTCGGTGGAGCTCCCCATGGGGCCACGAAGCGCCGTGCTGGGTGTGGCGGACGCATGCGGGCGGAGCTCCCTATGGGGCCACGAAACGCTGTGCTGGGTGTGGCGGACGCATGCGGGCACCCCCTCGGTGGAGCTCCCTATGGGGCCACGAATCGCTGTGTTGGGTGTGGCGGACGCATGCGCGCACCCCCACTGGGGCTTTCGGTGGAGCTCCCTATGAGGCCACGAATCGCTGTGCTGGGTGTGGCGGGCGCATGCTGGCACCCCCACTGGAGCCTTCGCTGGAGCTCCCTATGGGGCCACGGAACGCTGTGCTGGGTGTGGCGGACGCATGCGAGCACCCCTACTGGGGCCTTCGGTGGAGCTCCCTAGGGGACCACGAACGCTGTGCGGAGTGTGGCGGGGCGCATGCGGGCACCCCACTGGGGCCTTCAGGGGGCTTATGGAGCCCTATGGGGCCACGAAGCGCTGAATTGGGTGTGGCGGACGCATGGCGGGCACCCCCACTGGGGCCGTCGGTGGAAACTCCCATGGGGCCACGAAGCGCTGTGCTGGGTGTGGCGGACGCATGTTGCCCCCCCGCCCCCCCACTGGGGCCTTCGGTGGAGCTCCCCAAGGGGCCACGAAACGCCGTGCTGGGTGTGGCGGACGCATGCGGGCCCCCCCACTGGGGCCTTCGGTGGAGCTCCCTATGGGGCCACGGAACGCTGTGCTGGGTGTGGCGGACGCATGCGAGCACCCCTGCTGGGGCCTTCGGTGGAGCTCCCTATGGGGCCACGAAGCGCTGTGCTGGGTGTGGCTGACGCGTGCGGGCACCCCCGCTGGGGCCTTCGGTGGAGCTCCCTATGGGGCCACGAGGCGCTGTGCTGGGTGTGGCGGACGCATGCGGGCACCCCCACTGGGGCCTTCGGTGGAGCTCCCTATGGGGCCACAAAACGCTGAATTGGGTGTGGCGGACGCATGCGGGAACCCCCACTGGAGCCGTCGGTTGAGCTCCCCATGGGGCCACGAAACGTGTGAGAGGTGTACCGAAAAGGGCGATGATGACGATCATGACGGTGATGGCGATGATGATGATGATGCTGATGATGATGATGCTGATGCTGATGATGATGTTGATGCTGATGCTGATGCTGATGCGGATGCTGGTGCTGATGCTGATGCTGATGCTGCTGATGATGATGACGACGATGATGATGATGATGATGGTGAAGATGGTGATGATGACGTCGATGCTGATGCTGATGGTGATGGTGGTGGTGATGATGATGATGATGATGATGATGATGATGGTGGTGGTGGTGGTGGTGGTGATGATGATGATGATGAGATGAGGAGGAGGAGGAGGAGGAGGAGGAGGAGGAGGAGGAGGAGGAGGAGGAGGAGGAGGATGAGGAGGAGGAGGAGGATGGGGAGGAGGGGCGAGGAGGAGGAGTGAACGCGGGGCGCTGTCTTGTCAAAACGAGGACCCAACACCACAGGATGGTTGGGACAAATGCAGGGATTTAGTTTAAAAAACAACGATTGGTTCATGCATAAATTCATTCATAAATCAACCATGTATTAAAATCTATATTCTTAAAAATCCAATGTATTAAACACTGCCCTGTACGGCTTCTGGCTTTGCACATGCCGCCCGCCCAGGCGGTCCTGGCTGGCCTCAGCAGGCCCCTCGAGCAGTCCCAGCTGGCCTCAGCAGGCCCACCGCGTAGCCGGGGCGGTCTCAACGTCTCAGCCCTGGGGCGCGGAGCGCCCCAGGGGCACCGCTGGAGGCGGCGCCCATGGGTGTGGAGA